CGTATTGACAGGTCGTGTGGAAAGTTTGTTGATAGACAAGAATGGGAGAGATCGGAAGCTTTATTGTTAGTGTAATGGTTTAGATGTAATGAATCGAAAAATGGTGTGTGTCGTACTACTAGACAACAGAAACAATGACACTGCATTACATTTCATGTACAAGGTTTCTCTCTCAGCGTAGAGCTGTGGTATGTCGTAATGTCTATATATTCACGACGCTGGTTCTATGTTTGATTTCGGTTGCATTTTCAAAGACAACACGATTTTTGTCGATTTGTCATTGCTCTAAAATGTCCATCCGTGTAAATATTTAAGATACAAGATATTGCGCTAACTTAATCCTGCTTAAACAGTGGATATATATTACCACAGTTAATACACACGTTCACAGATCCTTAGAATGAATTGTTTATACACGTGTTTCTTCCAGACTTTTTTTTCTCCGGGGGTTCACTTGAAGTTTTCGGGGAGGGGGGGGGGAACGGACACTGTCAAAAGTATATGTTTTCTATATACATTCCATTGTGTTCGGGGGTGGCGGTAGACTTTCTTGGGGAGGGCGGGGTACTTGGAAGAAACTCTGTCAGTCAAACATGTAATTAGGAACGCAATACACATTTCACCTATTTTATTGTGTGATTAAATACATTTGTTCCTGTTCCCGCTCTACTATTCTGCAATTTGTTGAAATAATTTGTTTTCTTTTTAATCGATCGAAACAAACAGTGTCTATATTAGGTGCCATGCTATACTATCCCATGGATTCAATTGTTTTAATATATATTTTTTAATATGTCATTACTCAAGAGGCAAACTTTTGCTTTGCCGCCTTCAAAGGGAAGTACAAAGGGAAACAAACAAGTAATTACTACACAAGACAGGACGACAGAATTGTCTCCTCTTAATAAAATATCTGTAGAACCGTGATATTATTTTCTTGTCTATTCCTAATTTCTATTGTTTTTATAATATAGTATTTGCAATTGGTTTCTTTGCCGCCTTCAAAGGGAAGTACAAAGGGAAACAAACAAGTAATTACTACACAAGACAGGACGACAGAATTGTCTCCTCTTAATAAAATATCTGTAGAACCGTGATATTATTTTCTTGTCTATTCCTAATTTCTATTGTTTTTATAATATAGTATTTGCAATTGGTTTCTTTGCCGCCTTCAAAGGGAAGTACAAAGGGAAACAAACAAGTAATTACTACACAAGACAGGACGACAGAATTGTCTCCTCTTAATAAAATATCTGTAGAACCGTGATATTATTTTCTTGTCTATTCCTAATTTCTATTGTTTTTATAATATAGTATTTGCAATTGGTTTCTTTGCCGCCTTCAAAGGGAAGTACAAAGGGAAACAAACAAGTAATTACTACACAAGACAGGACGACAGAATTGTCTCCTCTTAATAAAATATCTGTAGAACCGTGATATTATTTTCTTGTCTATTCCTAATTTCTATTGTTTTTATAATATAGTATTTGCAATTGGTTTCTATTTTGAAAGTACAGTTTTATTTTTTTTAATAGTACTGTGAAAAGGCTTTTAATAAGCAAAGCGAAAGACACGTACTTTTCTTTCAGGAAAATCCTTTGTAAAGCAACGACCAGATTAATACATTAGTGGGATGGACATTCTGTTTGCCTCCGTATCTCCGCACCCAGTCAGTTTTTCAAATCCCTGTCCCTCACAAAAACTGTTATTTTACTAGTCTTAGACCACAGCTCACTTTACGAAATAAGGCCCCACAATCTACGTACTGTCGCTATTTATTTACATATAACAAAAACAAATGAAAGTTACTAATCAAATAGTGTTAAAAATTAAATTTAATTGTCTTCATTTTTGTAATAACCTGTTTGATTTTACTTTTGTAAATGTATCAGTTTTGTTAATACACATGTTGGAGCTTATAAAATTAAAATTTTGAATAGTTAAAACAAAATAAAACATAAACCATAATGACTGTGGCAGATAGTAAGTACACATGCACAGACTGAATGACACTGATTACTTAATGTATATTTTGTTTGTGTCTTACCCGCGTCGTTATCGATTACCTTTTCTCAAGCCTTAACCCTACCAAATGATAGTCTAAACCTTACATCAACCCTAGTAATAATCATCCTGAGAGCTATAGCATAATTGTAAATCTGCAACAGTCCTCACACGTCGCATGATAAACACAGTAAAGTTACAGTGGACGCCGTGGGACAACGTCTAGACCAGGGGTCTCCAAACTACGGCCCGCGGGCCGGATGCGGCCCGCGAGATCCTCTCATCCGGCCCGCGGAGTTCTTTTTGTCCACGGAAAAAACGTTTGTTGGTGATGGCTGAGGAACTTTGCCCAGAAAAATCAAAGACATGCCTGGAAGAAACTGGCCCCCGAACTGAAATTTGATAGTTAATGCGGCCCTCGGACTGAAAAGTTTGGAGACCCCTGGTCTAGACCGTTGATACATATACGAATCTGAGACTAACAAATGTAAATAAAATATTGTTAATGACGTGAGTAGCCTGAATGATCCACTCGTTATAAAAAAAATATCTTGTACATAATAAAGCTACAGCTTTACTGTCCTATTTAATACGCTTGTGACGTTATATGTCTGCAATTCCTTACCACATCAACCCCATCAAGTTTAACATAACTCACTCCATTTATTACATAGTCAAACCATATTTAAATACAACACCCATAATTATCACTAAAACCATTACATCCTCTTCTACTCCATAACTATTTTGATGTCCAATCCCCACAACATCACACCATCAACTACACTGGCCTATACCATCAACATTACGCATTGAAATTACTGACACTGAAAGTGACAAGTCTACATTTTCTAGTTGGTTTAGATATTGTAAATTATCTAATAGTACTTTTAAGAGTTATGCCCCATGTACACTTTTTTTTTTAAAGCATGAGCATTAATTCACAACTGTGATTAAATATGTTATTCCAAGATATATTTAAAAGTAGTTTAGAAGAAAAGCTACATATATATTTTTTTTATTTTGTAATAAAGAAAAGTGATATATTTCTTCAGGTCAATACCGTTTGTTGAAGGTAACATTATCTTTTTTATTCGTATACAACAACATAAAACTGAAGGAAATACGTTTTGTGTTTTGTAGACTAACGACGCTTTACTTTCGATAGCGATTGTTGTTGCACTCTAGTTTAGGCCTAAACAATTTTTTCTATACTAATAAATAAAAAAAAAGGAAATACACATTTAATAATGCATGTAGCCAACCACCCACTTATAAAAAGTACATCTTGAAAATTTAAAAGTACATACTAAAGTAGCACCACCTTGCACATCTGACCAATACATTACAAAATCAGTAATATAATAATTCAATATGTTATTCCATAATTTGTGTATATGTACAGCACCTATCTGTTTAAAACCGTCTTCCATAACTAACTGTATTAGAGATTATCCAAAAAGTCGATGTTTTATGTACATGTACCTTGCACTTTGATGTCACTATCTATCATTATACACTATCTGCTGCTGAAATTATGTCCTATAGAATCCTTCCCTACTAACAGCACAATCACCACAAAATCCTCTCCACAATGTTTAACGTCACTCACCCCATCACTTTATCCTTCACTGTATCACCCACACCATAACCATTTAACTTTCTAATAAAAAAAACTAACCACCTCTCACACCATTACCATCACACACCCACATTACAAACACCATCACATTTACCATTCTTCGATTCTCACCGGTAGAGCCTGACCACAAGTAATGTGGGCATGTAGTAGAAATGTTCTTTGCATGTAGTAAATAATAACACAATAATACAATATACTGCATGCACTGGTAACCTAGATCTAAACCATAGTTAAATGTTATTTTAATGTAACGACAAACTAAAACTAAAGCTTCTTAACGTATTTTTGTCTACCGAGTTATGTCGTGTCGAGTCAATCCTCTTCATAGAAGGTGGCGCATTATGTGTGTCAATATCTAAAATAAACCATAGGGTTTCTGTCACTTGCATTCATCGGAACATCTACTCACTTTTTGAAGAGGAATTACATAGTGTTCACATATACGACTACATAAAGACATTCACTGATGTGACTGTTGTGCCATTTACATGTATCTACTGCTGTTATGTTTGCCTACTTGTTATCTAGCTAGTCGTTATGTTATGTACATGATACATGCTATCCAATTAGTGATGATGACGGCATTTCAACATTAATTTCTCTTTAAGCAAACTACATGAGTGCAATAATTCAATACACACATTTATCGTAATCGTACACCTAAAAAATGTGGTTTATTTACCTTTTTTGAATTTCATAAACTCATAGATCGAATCATTCGTAATAGCCATATAGTCCAAGCTAACGCACTGCGATTGTGTATTAATTGTGTATAAATAACCAAAGTTGTTATGAGGACTTTAAAATAATTCTTTCTTGTTAAAGCTTTTATTGTGTCTGTTTATAATGAATGTATTTGTACCGTCCTCTGCAGATTGTTCGCGTTTGATTTACTATTTTTATCATCGGCTGTAAAGACTTATAAAGGTTTACAATAATGCAAGTTCTTTATGGCGAGTAATTTATTTCTAAATCATTTAGTTATGCATATGATTTATTTAATTTAACTTTTTTTTTTTTTTTTTTTTTTTTTTTTTAAGTTGTTTGTTTTTTAATTTAAAATAAATACACATTTCAGAGTGAACATTTTTTCAACTGTCAAGTATTAGTTTTTGAAAATATACAATAGTATCTAAAGGTAAAAAAATTGTATATGATTTATTTTAGTTTAGTAAAGACTGAATTTTTAGTTTAGGTTAAACTGCAGAAAAACAAAACAAAATTATCAAAACATTCCTTAATTACCTTATAAATGTCATCAAAACAAGATAAGTAAACATTTACGACAGCACCCTTTTCTTTCTCACACCAGCATAACAGTTTTTTAAGTAATGGAAATTATAAATGAAACAAACTATTGTTGCGGCTGTTGTGCTTGATCTGGCTCAGCAGGTTTGCAATGAACTTGATTAAACAGCCGATCTTTAATCACTTGTGACATGAGTCCATGTAAAACCTCCATAGTTGTTTTACAGCCATCTTTGGTTGCTTTGGTGAGTTTATCTTCAGTTTTCTTATCCTGTGCATCAGTGCCTATGAGACCGCCACGACCCAGCTGTGATTCAGACTGTTCTAATTTGTCTGACAAATCAAATATCATTCCTGTTGTGTAATCAGCATTTGTAAGAAGGCTAGATGAGCTCAGGGTATTGACCCAGTATTTATTCCACAAAGATTCAAGCAGTCTCCGATCCATGGATGATTTGAAGTAAGACATTTCTAATGGGTAATAAGCTTTACAATGTATTTAATTTAACTTGAAACGTTAATCTACTGTTTAGTAATCAGCTTGCACTTTAGTTAAAACGACTCGTTAGTAATAGAAAAACACGATTACAGCTGACAGTAGTGTTCATTGATACAAGTGGAATTATTCACCCCCTGTCAATATTCAATCTACGGACCATATTTGCTAAGACAGTATCTGTGGAACTCGAGGTGCCAACTCATTGCTTAATGTGTGCATACATCACTGTGTTCAAGAATGTTGTATTAGTTTTGCTGACAGTTTTTTTTGTTTCGATGAAAATTGAATTGATCTGGTTACTTCCCATTTATAAAAGTATAATAACCAAGGTATATAACTTATAACTATTCACACTAGGGGATTCAACTTTAAAACAATTCCACAAACGTAGTTTGCAAATAGTTTATATTAGTATTAATTTACAAAACAAAACAATGTTTTTACGATTTTTGTCAATGAATTTTTAGCAATATGTTTATTTTTAATGTAAAAGTTATTCGGTTTTAATTTGGCAAGCAATACCTTTATAAGATACATAATTCGATCAGTCGAGAACTTTACTTTTAATCTTCGACCAACTACTAACACAATGGAACTTACGAAATTATTTTTTTCATTTCAACACACTATACATTATTAATTAACAAATGTCAACTCTCGAGTAGCACAATATGTAAGACGCAGAGTTTCTTCCAGGCATCTCCAGACAAATTCTACCGCCCCCCCCCCCCTGAACGAAATGAAATGTATGCAATTTATATAGAAAATATATACTTTTAACAGTGTCCGCCCACCCTCCCCCCGAAGAAAGTTTACCGCCCCACCCCCCCCCCCCAAACGAAATGAAATTTATATAATTTATATAGAAAATAAATACTTTAAACCGTGTCCGCCCCCCCCCCCCCCCCTCACGAAGAAAGTCTACCCCCCCCCCCAAACGAAATGAAATTTATATAATTTATATAGAAAATATATACTTTTAACAGTGTCGCCCCCCCCCCACGCAAAAAGTCTACCGCCCCCCCCCCCGAAAATTTTAAGTGCCCCCCCCCCCGGGGGAAAAAAATTCTGGAAGAAACACTGGTAAGACGAACAAAAAGATCTTAAGGATTATTTTATTCTAGCTGCTTTGTTCCCGGAAAGGGGAAGCCATCAAGTAATTGCAGATCAGAGGCAGGAAACCAGTACTGTCTCCCTTTATTCACTCTTTTACCCTTTTATACCCTTTTATATATATATATATATATATATATATATATATATATATATATATATATATATATATACTTCAACCAAAAACAATAAACACAACACAATCTGTTTTGTAATTCTTGTAAAAAAAAATTGATATAATAATTCCTGAAATATTAATTAAGACAAGCGAAATAGGGGAAATAATCACTATCTTAATATAAATATGTATATATCTACATATTTAATTATAAATGTCAAAACAAATCAATAATTACTTTAAAATGTAATAAAATTGTTTACTTATATTCGTATTTACAAATAATTTTTGTCTACAATCAGAATTAAATATATCGTCTATATAAATGCTAAAGTATTACAGCATAATTAAAGTTTTTTAAATCAAAGTTGGTATAAAAACATGCTTAAAAATATCATAGAAAACCATTCGGAATAATACCTTACATTTTACTAAAATATCGGTCTTTTAGTTCAGATCATGCACTTTTTAATTAGCTACTGACTTTTTGTGTTCTTTAAAGATCATTTTTTAACATTGTCACATAGTGATCAGGTATGGGTTAGACCACTGCATTGATTACACACCGTTTTACTGGTAATTGCAAAAACAATATTAACAGAGTTTTACTTGTTTCAAAAGCTATGATTCTGGCAGCATGGTACTTTGGTACATCGTTACGCGTTAACCAACTCAGAGTGAACATAGCGTCAGTTTTTAGATGACTGTTCTAAACATGCATATTCAATTACAAATATATACTGATTCGGAAATAGCTTTTTATAAGTTGTAGTGGTATTATGACAATATTTTTTTACAGAGGGGTCCATGGGGGAGGGGGGTTCGTAATCACTATCGCTCAAACTGTCATAATACTACTATTTCATCGTGATGACGTTGTTGACGTTGTCAAAATTTCCCCAACTACGCAGTTTGCCCATAAGTAAATTTAAATGGAGGTGCCACATCAGTTGTATTTGAGTCTGTATTGTAATTTTTAAAAATTAATTACACGATTAAAACTTGATATATATAAAGTAATTATGTGTGAAGATTTATGTATAATATTTTCTAGATCAATTATTCTTAAGCAAACACAGTATACAGTTGCCTTAAACTTAACACCCCTCTTGCCAAGTGGTACTACCGGTAGAGTTTTTTTACAAATTGCAATGCATCGTAATGGTTATTTTTAGAATGACAACCTTGATACAGCTGTTAATACGTGTTGTAAACGTAGACGCTACTAGACTAGTACAATTCTGCTTAATTGCTTAATTTAGAAATCTAAAAATAAATTTTTAACAAAAATCATTTTTTAAAACTTTGAGTTTAAAAAGTTTCCAAAAAGGCGCCACTTTACTGAAAATGGCCAGAGGGGGAGCGGCCGCTCCCCCTGCTCCCCCCCCTGCGTACGCCTCTGTTGCTAACCATAGAGAAAACAATGATACATGCATATGAAAAATTTACAGAGGAAGAAAAGTTTAGTGGGATATTTTCAAGTAAATGAATGACCGGGGTGGCTGTGAGACAATGTGAACTTTTGAAAAGTTTAGTGGAATATTTTCAATACAAATAAATCAGTGACCGGGGTGGGTTTGAGACAATGTCTAATTTAATTTTCGTTTCCAATTGAATTATATGTAGTATATATATATATATATATATATATATATATATATATATATATATATATATATATATATATATATATATATATATATATATATTAATATATATATATATATATATATATATATATATATATATATGAGACTTTATATGAGTAGGGGGGATGGTGACATTATGGGGTGCTGCATCTAGTGATTATATATGTGATTTTCTAATTGTTGTATTAGTTATTTTAATGTTACAAGTCATACATTTATTAGATACATATATTGATTAGAGGAGAAAGAATTTTTAAATTCGCGGAAATCTGGTAGATTGTGCTGAAGTATTAACATTGTTTACTTAAATTAATTACACTATTTACTTAATTAATAAATATTAACTCTCGAGAACATGCCAAATAATGATGAAACTTGGTATAAATTGATAACACAAGCAGATGATCAAATACTTATGATCTTTAAAGAAAAAGCAGGCTAAAAAAAGACATAAGATTGCGTTGATTTTCATTAACAAATAAAAAAATAAATAAAAAAAAACGATATGCATACAACTGATTGAGTCCACCCAGATCTAACGGGTACCTAAACTCGGAACCAAAAAAATGGTGCGATTGGAGAGCTAAAGAATTGTATGTTAACATTATGAATCGTTATAAACTACCCCACATATTCATCCCCATACAATCATCACCCTCAAAAAACAAAAACTCTACGGCCATATGCCATACTAGATAATCTGCATAAAATACAAACCCTCACTGAACCCTAACCACAACATTAGCATAGACCTCACTCTTCGTCTCCATAGTGACGGCAAACCAAGCCAACAGATGGTTGGTAGTCATCAAGGAATATAATCCAAAATTAAAACTAATTTCTTCCCAAACTTAATCCTAACCTAGTTCTAGCCATAAGACACCGGTTGACACACATCTTGTCAACGTTTCTCCCTACACAGATATCTTGGCGTTTCTCCCTACACATATATCTTGGCGTTTCTCCCTACACAGATATCTTGGCGTTTCTCCCTGCACAGATATCTTGGCGTTTCTCCCTACACAGATTTCTTGGCGTTTCTCCAACCCTACCATTTTTTATGTGTTAAAAGTTTAGATGATTTCAGTTTTCTTCTTGATTTGCTGTCCTACTTGACTCGCACAATTTATGTTTTCAAATTATTTTGTTTTTGTCGCCCAAATACCTTTAAGAATATATTTGGTTGATCGGTTCATTGTCAATGCCAAATTTTAATAAGCAGTGCCGACAGCACACTTTCTTATCTGACTTCAGTTTTAACTACAAAAGATATTGCAATATTTGAATTTACACGTTGTTAAGATATACCTTAAAGCTACAAAAGATATTGTATTATTTTAATTTACACGCTGTGAAGCTATACGTAATGTTTTAATGGCCATGAGGATGTCTCTGTGTATATCATTATTTGTTGTGGAAATCAACAAGTAGACTTCATTTTGAACTTCTAAGCTTTATTCTATAACATGCCAACAGAGTAATTATTTGATCTTCACAATTTTTCCTTTTATTAAACCTGCTTTTACTTCCACAACCTTAGTCATTTGGACGTGTTCTTGTGCTATCGCTTTAGAACACGTTTTGTTTTTATGTTTCATGTTCTCGAGAGTAGCTGTATATCTCTAAATTAATATGCATATTGTTATTATTGATTTAATCATGGAGATTTCCATTGCATGGGTAACCGTAACAGACAATTAAACGAAACTCTTTGCACGATCGAATTTTGTATCTAGCTAAATAAGAATAACACATACATTAGAAAACTCCTTTATATAAATCTAATTGAATCTAAACGTAAAGTCAATATTTTCAGAAAAAATATTGCTTATGTGAACAATTTTAATAAAACGTTCGTTTAATATTTTTCTTTTTTACCAAGTTATTATTGTACATCCATGTAAGTTATTTACATTTTCTATTCAGATTATGTGCATGAGAGGTTGCTAGAACAAATGAACTTTCATCGAAACCAACAACATGCTTCAAACAGTAATTGTTCCACACATTAAGCCATAAGTGTCCAGTTCGAATCCGGGTTCAAGTCAGTAGACTCTCCAAGATCTCTGATGGGTACTTAACTCAGGAGA